GTGTGTAAGGACTGAGGCCAGGACCTAGCAGAGAACCTCACTGTCTAGAGTTTAGAGTCTTCCTATGGCTCTGCAGTTCTAGGTTCAGAATCTGCTGCTGACACTGAGAGTTGGAGTCTGGCCTCTGGACTGGGACCCGGCAGGTGCTCAGCTGGGGCACTCACTGCTCCAGTAACTCTCCAGATGTCAAATGCCATCTCCAACTTGCCAGGCATTTCAAAGTGAAACAGTCAGCTTTGGTACTCACATTATCACGAGGGAAGAACCCTGTATCGGGGCCACTATGTGCAAGGAGCTTCCGTAGGCATGTCACTTGGAAATGTCGGAGTGCTCAGAGGGAACTCTTGGGGATGCCGTGGCTTGCCGAAAATCTGCGAATCCAGCCAATTTAAGAACCTAAACAGACACGGGCCATCTTATTAGAGACTGCCCATTCTCTGACATCTAGCAGGAAACACAAGTTTGTGAGAACAAACTTGCTAGCTCATGGACCTGTTTAACTTCAGGGGCTGAGGTTTGAAGCCGAGTTGGGGCTCTTCTTGGCCACGCTGGGGACTGAATTTGAGGTCTCTGGTAACTCCTGCCCCCTGCACCCAGTCTTCTCCACCATACCTGACAGTATCCATCACTCCCTCTCCCTGGGAACACCTTCCTCCTCTCGTTTCCATGACAGCGCATTCTCCCCTTCTTCCCCTTGCTCCTCCAGTGGTTTCTCACTCCCCTTGGGGGCTCCTGAGCCTAGGAAGCTCGCTGCACCCTGGAAGACCATGCATATTTCCCTCTGGGTCTCTAGCTCTGACCTTGCACTCTGTCTTCCAGTCACAGCTACCTGCTGAGTGCCAGACCCTAATTGCCTAATTAATCTCATAGCCACTCTACAGAGAAAGTCCATTCTAGGGGCACTGAGACTCTGAGAGGGGAAGCCAACATCAGAGTCTGGCATTCATCCAGAGTTCCAGGACATCAAGAAGAGACTGGAAACCTTAGGGCATTTTTAAACCAAAGGCAAAATCTTCCCTCCCACCTCCCAGAGAGAAAGGAGTGGAAATTTTGGGGAGGAAGAGACCTGTGAGAGTCTAGAATTACACTGTCAATTTGCAGCTTTAAAAATGCACTGTGCACGGTACATTTTGAAAGGCAAAGATTTGGAGAACTTCAGGAGGAACAAAAGTTCACAGAAAATTGCCCTTTTCTCCCATTTAGTTAAGTCTTCAAAACCCTCGTCCCAGGGTTCCGGCAGGAGCTGGAATGGCTTTCTACTCCACTGGTGCCCAGAATTCACAGTAGACTTGGACCTGGGGATTTTCTCTAGAATTCCTGACCTGAGTTCTGCCACCCCTGACAAGGTGACTCAGGGGAAAGCGGCCTCATCTCTCTGAGGCCAGCTTTCACATCTGGAATGGGGATGCCAGCCAGGCATGGTGCACGCCTTTAATCCCAGCAGTTGGGAAGCAGAGGCAGATGGTATGAGGCCAGCCTGGTCTACAGATCGAGTTCCAGGACAGCCAGGACTACACAAAGAAACCCTGTCCCCAAAAAAACAACCAACCAACCATACATACATATATATAAAATGAGAATACTACCCAGGCGTGGCACACACCTTTAATTCCAGCACTCAAGAGGCACAGGCAGACTGATCTTTGTGAGTTCAAGGCCAGCCTGGTCTAAATGGCAAGTTTCAAGCCAGCCAGTAAGACCTTGTCTCAGAGAGAGAGAGAGCTGAGATATGTGCATAGAGCACTTGGCACCAAGCCTGGTGTCCCACGGCACTCAGGTCAGTTCTGTGTCTCCACTGCTCGTCACGTTTGGTTTTGCCGTGCACGTGAACGTACTCGTGCTTTTCTACACACTGTTCTGCCGTCTCAGGGGCCAACTCCTGTGCATCCTTTAAAACCCCTGACCCTCTGCCACCTCTTACAAAATTGTTGCAAGCGTGATTTTAGTTAGAAGGCACTTCCCCGGGACGTCCTCCCTGGGGCTTCCTGTCACTGTTCTTGCCACAGTTGCACGCAGTCACCTGCATAGGATTTGCTTCCCAGCATTGGCTGGAGCTTTCCGAAAGAAGAGACGCATTTAACTGAATTCCGAGTCTCAGTGCCCAGAGTGCACAGCCTGGCAGGAGGCTTTCGGGATGCTCACATTGACTACACACGGTCCGGGCCCAGCTGAGGCTGATCTCAGGTCAGACGCCTACCAATATCAGAAAAGGAAAAAAAAAAAAAGCAGCCAGATCTTGTTGGATGTGGTAACACATGTCTATGATCTAAGCACTTGGGGGGGGGGGGTGCATGGCAGGCCAGTGTATACATACATACATACATACACACACACACACACACACACAAATAAACAAACAAATAAAAGCATAAAGGTCCTTGCCACCAAACTTGATGATTTGAGCTCAATCCCTAGAAAGAAACCCACAAGGCAGAAGAAGAGAACCAACTCTCCCCTGACCTCTGACCTCCACATGTGCACAGTGGGAGGACCATGTCCCCACACAGACACGATAACTCAATCAATGTTTAAGCAGTCTTGAAACCACACCTGTAATACCAATACTCCGGAGGCTCCCAGCTGGAAGATCAGGAGTTCAAGGCCAGCCTGGGCTACATGATACACAGTTCTAAAGCCTGTGTCACCTGCTTGAGGAGTCTGCCCTGATTAATTGGTTTTCTCTGCTACCTCCTCTAGGAATCTCCAGTGGCGAGTACCTAGGAGCACCTTTGGTGTGGTGACGCCCTTGTCCATTTGGGTGGTGAAGGTCAGCTGAGAGACTAGGTTCCAGGATAGGGTGGCTGAGCAGGCCTGACGCCAGCAGTGACCACCATACTACAGCCCAAAGTACAGAGATCCCAAGGTCCTAGGCTTTGAAGGACGTCACACTGAGAAAAGGGGCCGTACTTTGTCCATCAAAGGGACCCTTCCTGCTCGCCTAGCTCTGCCTCCCCTGAAGGCTGGTTCAGTCCCTGCTGGAGTGACAGCTTCCAGCTTTTGTTCCAACGAAGTGGCTGTCAAAAAAGAAAAGAGGTATATTGTCTCTCTCGCTCCTTTCTTTTTTTTTTTTTTTTTTTTTGTTTGAGACAAAGGCGTCAATTTCTTTCCATCTGTCCCAAAAAAGGAAGAGAATTAAATTTGTTTTTACAAGGATGTCAGCAGGCTGCTTCAATAGGGAGTCAGGGGCAGGTTGCTCAGGCAGTGGGGGAGGCACGGGGGATAGGGCAAATGATGACATTCAGGGGAGCTAGGGTCCAGGGGTGCCTGGATACGTTTCTATGTCCTCCCTCAGCAGCTTGAGCAGAAGAGGGACCCGGGGGTAAAGGGCCATGCTGACGTCACTACCGTCAGAGCCCTCTTTCCCCGGTGCCTTCAAAATCGGCCCCAGTCCCTGAAAGCCACAGACACCAGACACAGAGAAAGGAAAGGGATTTCCCCCAGGTCCTAATCAAGGGTCTAAACCTCACTCACCTTGAGGTGCCACATATGGGGTGCTCAGCCAAAATGGGTCTCTGTGCTCCTGTACCGAGCTGCGTATACTAGGGCCCCGAGAACCCCAAAAACATCCACCCTCGGGCTTCAGGATTTAAACGGTCAGCTGAAGCCTTGACCCCCTGCCTCTCCCCTCCCCAACACACACTTTTTGTTTTGCTTTTTTGAGACAGAGTCTCACTATGTAGCCCTGGATGTCCTGGAACTCACTATGGAGACCAAGCTGGCCTCAAACGCACAGAGATCCTCCTGAGTCTGCTTCCCAAGTGCAGGGATTAAAGGCGTGGGTCACAGCGGGCAGCTCCCACTTTTTTTTTTTAAAGACTTATTTTGTTATTTTACGTGTGTGAGTGTCTTGCCTGCGTTATGTATGTGCACCATGCTCATGCCTGGTGCCCACAGAGGTCAGAGGGCACCAGATCTGCCGGGACAGAGGGTGAGCCGCCACTCAGGTGCTGGGAATCGAACCGGTGTCCTCTGCAAGAACAGCACGTGTTGTCCTTAATCACCTCCAATTGTACTTCCTACTTCTTGACACAAAGGCTTCCTCGGTTTTGGAGCCTGGAACCTCTCACTCCTCCGTGGGCCTCAGGGGTCCCGTTAGAACTTGATTCTGGGGGCCTTGTTCAGTACCCAGGGAGTCTCCGCTTCTGCCCACTGGCCTGTCCCTCCCCAGCCACACAGGGACACAGGGCTGTGGATGGGGTTCAATTCAGGCTCGTCTGTATGGTTTACTTTTGGTTTGGTTTTGCTGTTTGGAAGGGTTTTGTTTGTTTTGTCTCCTTGATCCCGGAACCTCACAGGAACACCCCACCACTGAGCTGAATCCCCAGCCCTCTTTACTTTTTATTTTGAAACACTAAGTTTGCCCAGGCTGCTTTAATTGGCCAGACTCAGCCTCCGGCATGACCGGGATGACACAGGCCTGCACCACCAGGTCCAGCTTGAATTCTCATACAGGGAAGTCACGGCCTCCGCCCGTAGTGAGAATGTCGAATGTCGTGAGCGCCTTGACTTTTCTCCGAAGCGGACCCCTCCGAGGGGAGGGCGCTTATCTCCTGACCAAACCCTTAGCTGCCATGCCTGACTGCCCTGCCCCCTCACCTCCCCTTAGAAGAGGCTCCTCCCCTACCACAAAGGCCCAGACTCAGCTCCATCATCAAGTCATTGACCCCATCACTGTCCTTCCTGGTTCCTGGAGCTGGTCTTAGACTCGACCTGCGTGTTCAAAAGGCCAGAACCTGACGTTATCCCAGGCTGAAGCCCTGTCCCATTGCAGAGGCCTCTCTAATGGGTCCCGTTTAGAGGTCACTCTCCGGAGTCCCCAGCTCCACCTCCACCCCGCCAAACCAGAGCCTTAGACCCCATAGGCCCTGCCCCCACAGGCCTCCCCTCTGTGCAGGCCCCCTTCTAGCTGCCCAGACGGTGGCCACAACCTCCTAGGGGGCTCGGGGTGGCCGCTGGGTCACTTCACTTGGGAGGGGCGCTTAGGGGGAGGGCCGGGTAGGTCAGGCGGCAGCACCACCGCCCGGGCAGTCGGACGGGGTGCAGGCGGTGACGCGCTCACGCGCGGTGGCCTGGCGGCCACTGCGGAGGCTGCCGGGTTCCTGGCGGCCACAGGGGGCGCGGCAGAGCTGGCGGAAGCAGCGCTTGAAGTTCTCGTCCAGGAAGGCGTAGAGCACGGGGTTGAGGCTGCTGTTGGCGTAGCCCAGGGCGATGCACAGGTGCAGCGCGGCCACCACGAGCGGGTCGCTGCGGTTGATGTCCACCAGCGTCCAGACGATGACGAAGATGTGGATGGGCGCCCAGCACACCACGAAGGCGCCCACCACCACCAGCACCATGCGCGTGATGCGCCGCAGGCTGCGGTCCTTCTCCTTGGAGCCCGACAGCAGGCGCACGCTGCGCAGGCGCAGCAGCATGAGGCCGTAGCACACAGTGATGATGAGGATCGGCACCACGAAGGCGAAGAGGAACACGCAGATCTTGGTCACCGTGTCCCAGTACCAGCTAGGGCTGGGGAACTGGAGTATGCATACTACCGCTCCATCTGAGCCGGGGAAACAAGGAAAGCCAGGGATCAGAGGCCTGTGTGCCTAAGGGGCTCTGTCTGCTTGTCGCCTTTCCAAGATGATTGACTGCGTCCCGGGGATTCTCATACCTAGGCTGTCCCTTTACTTGGTGAACTCCTTTTTCTGCCCTCCTCTAGGAGGTCCCCTTCTGTGTCCTCTCCAGGTCCTTTGTAAGCCTCTATGTCCATGGACGACAGTAATAATTTATCGTGTCCCGGTCATGTCAATCATTTGTGTTGGCTCGGCAGACCTCCTACCTGTTTTCAGAATTGCTCCAGTGGACCGATCAGGACTGAGTATTGATTCTGAGGGTGAGTTAGGCCTGGGGGTGCTTGCAATAGCATGCATGAAGCCCTGGGTTCAATTCCCAGCACTGTATAAACTTGGCCTGATGGCACATGCATGAAACCCAAGCACTCAGGAGATAGCGATGAGGAAGAGTAGAAGTTCAAGGTCATCCATCCTTGACTACAATGACTTCTAGGCTAGCCTGAGCTACATGAGATCCCATCTTTAAAAAGAGCCAGCTGGGCATGGTGGTGCACACCTTTGATCCCAGCAGTTGGGGAGGCAGAGGCAGGTGGATGGCTGTGAGTTCGAGGCCAGCCTGGTCTACAAAGTGAGTCCAGGACAGTCAAAGCTACACAGAGAAACCCTGTGTCAGAAAGCAAAACAAGGGGCTGGAGGGATGGCTCAGAAGTTAAGAGCACTGGCTGCTCTTCCAGAGCTCCTGCGTTCAATTCCCAGCAACCACATGGTGGCTCACAACCATCTATAATGAGATCTGGTGCCCTCTTGTGGTGTGCAGACATAAACGCAGGCAGAACATTGCATACCTAATAAGTCTAAAGAAAAAGAAAGACAAAACAAAAGCCTGACTCCAGCCCAAATGTATGTGGCTTTGGGCAAATTACTCACTGTCTTCAAGTTTCTTTATGGTGGGGCTAATTGTGTACATTTCCTTAGTAATATTTGGATTTATTTGCTCTCTCTCTGTGTGTGTGTGTGTGTCAGTGATAGGACGGCTTGCAGGAGTCAGTTGTTGGTTCTTTCCTCACACCATTTGTGTTTCAGGGATCAAACTCAAGACTGTCAGCTTAGTGGCAGATACCTTTACCTGCTGAGCCATCTTGTCATCCCTACCTGCCCGAAGCACATTTTTTAAGACAGCTGTGAGGGTGAAACAGACTCAGAGCCTGTATTTAGCTCAGTGGGGCTCAAATGGTTGATGCACCCAGAGGAAAGAGGAGAAGATAAGTATAGGAGCCTAGAGAGGTCAGGGCCTGGGTCTTAGGCAGATGTCAGCTAAAGTCAAGAACCGCTTTGCACGAGGTGAGGTAGCACCTATAATCCCACCACTCAGGAGACTGAGGCAGGGGGCTCTCAAGTGCAAAGCTAGACTATGTCCAAAAGCAAACTAGAACCACAAAGCCCTTCCCAACAGCCAGCCCTGTAGGAAGAGACAGGGGAGCTTCCTGTTCTGGCCCAGAGTAGAGTCTCAGAGGATGTTGTAGGGTCCTGATCAGACCTGAAGCTGGCCCAGGGGATGCCCATGATCTCTTGGAGCCACACAGTTAGACTTGCAGCCTGAGAGTCATGAGAAAGGGGCTGGAGAGCCACAAAATGTCTGTGGTAGTTCAGGCTGGCAGGGCTCCTGGGGATGACTGAGGATTAGTGTGTGTGGTGGTGGGGGATGCTCAGAGAGGGAGGAAGAAGGAGGGAGGAGGGATAAGGCCCATTTGGCTCCGCTCCCAGCAGGGCTACAGTTAATGATGTGTAAACTGAAGGCTGGCAGTGAGCTATGGGGCCCTCCTGCGCAGTCAGAACCAATTTCTCACTGGCTATATAATGGCCCTGGGGGCCCTGCCTTCCTGCGGGTCAAGGTGTCTAAGAGGTGCCCTGCCAATCCTTCTCCCCTTTCACCCAGAGCATCAAGCCTCTACAGACTTCTACCCAGGGACCAAAATGAAGGAGAGTCCTGAGGCCAGGGTCCTTGGGCCTAAGGTCAACTTCCATCAAATGCTCACCTGTGAGGCTGGAACTAAACCACCTGACTTGATCCTGCTTTCTTTTTCCTTTCAGACAGAATCTAAATATACCATGTAAAGTGGCCTTGGATTCAAGATCCTTCCTCCTCAGTCTCCTGTGTGCTGGGGCTATGGGCATGCGTCACCACATTGTGCCTCAGAGAAAGGGGGGGGGAGGGAGGAAGAGAGGAGGAGGGAGGGAGAGAGGAGGAGGGAGGGAGAGAGGAGGAGGGGAAGAAGGAAGGAAGGGAGGGAGGGAGAGAAGGAGAAGGGGGAAGGGAGAGGAGAAGGGGGAGAAAAGGAGAGGGGGGAGGGAGAGAGATGTTCCTGCCCTGTCTATGAGTAATGTGGCCCACAGGTTGTTTGCTAAGGTGTAGGACTCTTCCAGACTTCATGACATCAAGATGGGGCCACGTGAGGAGCAGCCAACACTAGGAAGGGACAAACAATAACATTGAAAAGTGGTTATGATTTCCCCCGGCTTCCTTTCTGTATTTATGTGCTGGCCAGATGCCAACAGTGGAAGATCTGGTCACGTCCCCTGGTGGCCTAGGTACCCCCAAACTGTCCTCCCTCCCAGCGGATTGCAGTGGAGTGAAGGCCCTGAACTCTGGGGATGTCTGTGATAGCAGCTACAGAAACTAGGAAGGAAGGCCCAGGAGACACACTTGGCTGCCGCTCCCTGTGGGAGTCTCTAGGCCTTGCTTTGCTCATTTGGCCAAATGACGTTTGGTATTGTTTTGTTTGTTTGTTTGTTTGTTTGTTTTGGTTTTGTTCTTTAAGGGGGGGAAGGGGGAGGTTCTCCTTGTTTCTGCGGCAGGGTTTCATGTAGCCCAGGATGCCCTCACACGCATTACAGAGCTAAACCTAGCCTTGAGTTCCTGATCTTATTGCAGGGCTTATAGGTGCGGGGCACCATGCCTGATTTCTGAAGTGCTGGGGATTGATCGCAGGGCTCTGTGCATGCTGGGTAAGCACTCTACCAACTTAACTGCATCATCTCACTGAGTCCTTTCTCTCCAGATTCTTACTACATAGCCGAAGCCACCTCAAGCTCCTGAGTGCAGGGATTATAGCTTTGTATATATTATGTATGCAACTTCCCATGGGTTCATCATCATCATTATTATTATGTGTATGTGGGCAAAGGTCAGAGGGGTGAGATCCTCCTGGAGCTGGGGTTATGGGCAGTTGTGAGTCATCTGATGCGGGTGCTGGGAATCGAACTCGGGTCCTCAGAAAGAGAGCAGTATGTGCCTCTCAGCCACTAGGCCATCCCTCCAGCTCCTCCAGTGGTTTCCAAAGTGGGATAAAGGGGAGTTTGGGATGGGTCTGCAGAGCCTGTAGCCTCTTCTGGTCACCGATCAGTGACAATCACACCTTGGCCATTTATCCATCCCCCTGTCATCCACACAGTCCTGGCCAGCCAGTTCACAATTGCGTTACAAATCAGGCCATTCATCCTCAAAACACCTACCGCCCCCACTCCCCACTGGCCTACCCTCTCACCCTCTCCTTTCATTGTTCTGTCACCCACTGGCAACCACTCCCATTTATTTGCTCGAATAAATGCCTTGGAAGTCCACAGAGGCCCCCGGGTGGTCAGGCCCTCCTGTGGTCAGGGGCCCATGCTGCTGCTCCCTCTCTCACTCACCCCGGGGCTGGGTCACTGCCATGACCATGATGGGGACCCCGACCCCCGAAGCCAGGACCCAGATGCAGATGTTGATCAGCTTGGCCTTGGCGGGGGTCCGGAAGTCCAGAGCCTTGACCGGGTGGCAGACGGCGATGTAGCGGTCCACGCTCATCATGGTGAGCGTGAAGATGCTGGAGAACATGTTGTAGTAGTCTATGGAGAGCACGGCCTTGCACAGCAGCTCTCCGAACGGCCACGTTCCCATCAGGTACTTGGCACTCTGGAAGGGCAGCGTGCTGGTGGCCAGCGCATCCGCCAAGGCCAGGTTGAAGATGTAGATGTTGGTGGCAGTCTTCAGCTTAGTGTACCTTGGAAGGAAGAACACGGGTAACTAGCCACTGCATGGATGTCCGTTGCCGTTAAACTCGGGGAGTGGCGGGGCTTGCCCAGAGATCCACGAGGGACAGGGCCAGTGTGGTGTCACGTGCCTGCAGTCCCAGCATTCAGGAGGCTAACCCAGGAGGACTGGGCAGTAAGGACCAGCCTGGGCTACATGAGACCTTTTCTCAAAAAAAAAAAAAAAAAAAAGTAAAAGAGTCAGAAGCCCAGATGGGATTGGATCTCTGAACCACTCAACTGATCATCACTCCTCAAAGCAGGTGGGTGCGGATTTCTCTGCAGCCTATGATCCCAGCACTGGGGAGGCAGGAGGCAGAAGCAAGAAGATAAGTTTAAGGCCAGCCTGAGCTGCAAGACGACACCTTGTCTCAAACAACAACAACAAACGAACAAACAAGCCCAATGCTTAGGGCGCTGGAGAGTGGGCTCAGTGGTTAAGAGAACTCATCATTTTTGTTAAAGGACCTGGGTTCGATTCCCAGCACCCACATGGAGGCTCACTGCTTCTATAGGCATCAGGCAGGCATGTGGCCAACAGACACAGACAGAGGCAAAGCACTCGCACACACAAAATAAAAAACCTTAACAACAACAAAAAAGGCCAGAGAAGGGCAGGCTGGTCGGAGCAATGCCTCATGTGTCAGGTTCTGGCCGAAGAGCCCTCAGAGTGGGGAAAGTGGGTTTTCTGAAGGCAGAGCCTAACTGCAGGCGGTGGAAGGGAAAGAGCACATCTATAACCACAGTAAACCTAGCACTCAGGAAGCCGAGGCAGGAGGATTACAAGTTTGAGGCTAGCCCGAGCTTCATATTGAGACCCTGTCTTGGAAGAGGTGGTGTACACTTGGAATGGGCAGCAGAACAAAGATTAGGAGTTCAAGGTCGGCCGTGGCTACATGGGTCAGCCTAGGAAACACAAGACCCTCTCCCAACGAAACAAAATTAAAAAACAGCCTCGAAGCTAGACACACACCTTTAGTCCCGGCTAAACAGAAACAGAGGCCGGTGGGTCTTTGTGAGTTTGAGGCCAGCCTGGTCTACAGGGTGAGTTCCAGGACAGCCAGGGCTACACAGAGAAACCCTGTCTCGAACAAACAAAACAAATAACAAATAAATAAACAAAACCAGCATTGAGCACCCTCACTCTGGGTAAGAGAGAGACACTAAAGGAGAAGAGCAAGCCAGGTAATGATGGCGCATGGCTGTAATCCCAGCCTTGGGAAGCAGAGGCAAGCAGACCTCTGTGAGTTCAGGGCCAGCCTGGTCTACAGTGTGAGTTCCAGGACAGTCAAGGCTACACAGGAAGAAACAGTGTCTCAAAGAACAACAAAAAGAAAGAAAGAAAGAAAGAAAGAAAGAAAGAAAGAAAGAAAGAAA